AAGAAGAAGAAGAAGAAGAAGAAGAAGAAGAAGAAGAAGAAGAAGAAGAAGAACAAAAAGAAGAAGAATAGAGATAGATAGAAATGGGAAGGACATGGAGACAAACTTCAGGGGCGGGGTAGAGGGGGGTCGTAGACAAACATTCTTCATTTAACACAACGGCAGCCATGTTTTCTAAGCACCGGTGAAGGAATGCATGTCAGTGTTGTTGTTACTTCTGGACAAGCAAACCCAAGGTAAACGTTTCCTCGCCACTTTTGGAGGTCAAACACAAGGAGAGATTCTCACCTGTAGCTGGCTCTTCACGTCGTCCAGTTTGCGCTCAAATCCCGCTTCAAGAGCTTCCATCGTTGCTGTCACATTGTCCAGGATGTCCTGTTTTTGTTGGAGACACTCTCTCTTGCTCTCCTCCAAGGCCGCTTTCATTTTTTCCATAATCTGATTCTGTTGAAGATCCTTTTTCCTTTTCTCCTCAAAGGTGTGGTTCAGAACCTGAAATGTGACGTCATTCTTAAAGATTATGATAATGGGCAGGGATTTCTGCCTCATAACATTTCAGACAACGGTAAAGCTTATGACGTCACAACGGTTTGGACCCAGTTGCACTGATGCTCGCCACAGGTTACATGAATGACATAAATCTGTTACCAACAGGGCCGATACTGGTTACTGCGAATACACTATGTTTAGCATTAGTCTGACTTGTGTATTGTTCTAGCATTTTTCTGTACGTCAAAAAACTACAATTTCTTTTCTTTTTTTTTGCCCACATAAAAACGTCATATGGTAGAGGGTAGGTGGGTATTGTAATGATTCATCATCTCTCTCAACACTGTATGGTGATATAAAGATCAAAGACTTTCAAAATCAACGTCCATTCCAAGTGTAATGAATGCCATTGCAAAGATCACACACCTAGGTAGAAGTTTCCTCGTCAAGTTTCGGGAACAACTACATGGAGAGATCCTCACCTGTATCTGCTCCTTCATCTTGCTCTCCAGCCCCGCCTCCAGAGCCTCCACGGTCTCCGTCACGTTCTCCAGGATCTGGCGTTTGTGGAGGTCAAGTTGTCGAGGACATTCCTTCTTGTTCTCCTCCACTGTGTCGGTCAAGACCTGTTTAACGACCACACTCTTGATAGTTATAAACATGGGTAGACTTTTCTGTCACCTGGCATTCTCCATGCAAACAAGACTAATGGCATCACAAAGGTGTTGACAAAGGATTTTGCTATTTGGCAAGGGTGAAGTGAATCGTAGAGAGGGAGGGGGTGTTTTTGTTTTTTGGGGGGTTTTTTTAGGGAGGGGGGATTTGAATTGAGGAGGACCCATTTGACTCAGCAAACATATTGCAGGTAATTTCATATTGCTGTGTCGTCATCGAAAAGGCCTGCAACATGTTTCCTCTTTGACAAGTTGTCATTTCCCTTCGTATTTTAAAACTGTCTTGTCTGTGCAAGGTATATAGGTACTGAGTGAATTTATGAATGTATTGCAACTCTCAACACTCTGAAGCTATTTTTAAAACGACGTCTCCAAATTCAACAGACATATCTAGTAAGATCCAAACCAGGGGGAAAATGTGTCAGTAAAACTCTTCAAACAGCCCAGAATCAAGAATATTGAACCTTTTCTGCTCAGAATGCATTGGAGAAAGTAGATCAACCCCCTCCCCCTCCCTGCACCACA